GGGGCGCCTGGGTGGCTCAGTCGTTAAGCGTCTGCCTTCGGCTCAGGTCATGATCCCAGGGTCCTGGGATCGAGCCCCACATCGGGCTCCCTGCTTCACGGGAAGCCTGCTTCTTCTCCCACTCCCCCTACTTGTCCCTCTCTCACTGTGTCTTTTTCTGTCAAATAAATAAATAAAATCTTTAAAAAAAAAAAAACACAAATGGTCAACAGGTACATGAAAAGGTACTGGACATCAATATTCATCAAGGAAATGCAAATCAAAATCATAGCGGGACATCACCTCATACCTGTTATAATGGCTGTTATCAAAAAGGCAAGAGATAAATACCAGCAAAGATACAGAGAAATGGGTTTCCTTGTGCACTGTTGGTGGCAATATAATTTGGTACAGCCACTATGAAAAACAGTATGGAGGGTCATCAAAAAATTAAAAATGGAACAACCATATATCCAACAATCCCACTTTTGGGTACATATCCAAAGGAAATGAAAACAGGATATTGAACAGATATCTGTACTCCTATTTACAATAACTAAGATATGGAAAAAACCTAAGTGTTCATCAACGGATGAATGGATAAAAATGTGACATATACATACAATGTTACATTATTCCACCAGGAGAAAGAAGGAAATTCTTCCATTTGTGACAGCATACATGAACTTTGAGGGCATTATACTAAGTGAAATCAGTCAGACAGAAAAAGCCAAATACCGGATGATCTCACTTATATGTGAAACCTAACACACTCAGAAAATAGAGTGGTGGTTATCAGGCGTTGAATGTGTGAGAAATAAGATGTTGGTCAAAGTTATTAGATAAGTCAATTCTGGGAATCTAATAAACAGCATGGTGATTATAGTAATAATTTTGTATATATTTGAATGTTGCTCAGAGAGTAAATTTTAAGTGTTCTCACCACAAAAAGAAATGGCAATTATGTGACATGACATGATGGAGGTGTTAGCAAACAAAAGGGTGGTAATCAGTTTACAATATGTAAGTGTATCAGATCAAAAGAGTGTACACCTTAAATATAGAATATTATAGGTCAATTATATTTCAGTGAAGCTGGGGTGGAAATGAGTTAGTTGCAGACCTCATGTCTAGATGTATACTTCATAAACACAAAGATATATTGTTATGTACCTAAAGTAGAATTATAATATTCAGGAAATTGAACATTGATCTAATATATATTCAAATTTTGCCAATTGCCCCCACAATGTTCCCTAATCTGGAACATTCATCATTCTTTATGTTTTCATGACTTTGACATGTTTTAGGAATAGAGATCTGTCATTTTGAGGAATGTTCTTCACTTCAAATTTCCCAGATAGTTCCTTCTGTTTAGATTCAGGTTATGCACTTTTAAACAGAATATCACATAGTGTTGTGTTCATATTCACTTGCTTATCTGTTTGTTATCTTTCCTATTATTTCTGCTACTTATATTACAGGACCTTTGGGGTTCCAACGTTATGATATAAAAGCCATAAAGGACTTTACTTCCAAACACATAACAAATGGTAAAAATCATGAGTTGCATAAACATAAATGTCAGATTTTTTCGATGTAAAAGTAACAATTTTAAAGAAAATGAATTTGAAATGAATGCCCTCCATTTTTGGAGGAAAAAAAATCATTATTGTCTTAACTGCATTGCATACAATGCATTATTGAAAAAAATGCCCATATGTGAATTAGTAAAAAAAAAAAAAAATGAAAAATTAAGCAACTCACCCAAATATTTTGAAGTATCTCAAGTGAAAGAGAATGCTTGATCTAAACTATTATTCATCTCTTATTCATTTTTCTGCTCCATTTAAGTGAATATAGAGTCCAAAAAAAACTGACCTTTGACCAAAGTGTAGATCCAAAATATTGGCCCTATCACCCCCACATTGAGAGGACAATCACTCTCATAAAACACAATGTACGTGAGGCTTACTGATGACCTTGATGCCCAGATGTAGAGAAACATGAGCACTTCATGTGACCGAAGGATCTGCTTTCTACTGCTTAGAATGCATATGAAGGTTTCTGTGATAGCATCCCAACAGGTTGAGTACAAATACATACAAAATAGTCTGAAAATGCTACCTATGTTCCTGACACTCATTGTCCAAATTGGTAATGGAGATGCATGAAGAAGAGTTTACAGTTGGGCAACCTCAGAAAACTGTCAATAACTTTCCCTGTCTGGCTTATTGTGTTTTATTTTGTTGTTGTTTTGCATTGTTTTGGGTTTTTCAGATAGGTAAAAGAAATAGCAAGGGGTTATGAAAATCCCTCATTAGCAGGGGAAACAGAAACTTAGGAATTTGCCTGATTTATCTTCAGAATCAGGTAGATGCAGTATATGATAATTAACCTTCAACCATGACCATCCGGTAAGATGCAGATCTCCTAACCAAAAAAGGCTTTGCATCAAATAAGAATAGTTTTCATGTTGCAGTCTATGGACACTTAGAGGATTACCAGCAATGAACCATGTCCTCAAACTGCAAGAAAAGTGTACATGTTTTTGGAGAAGCTCCACAGCATTAATTAAACTTGCAAAATAGCCCAAGCTGGACTAAAAAAACTTCAGTGATGTCCAGTGGTTGGTGTGGTGTGATCACAGGTGTCCTGACCCACTTCCCTCATTAAAAATGACTGGTCTATTTTTTGCTTCTCTGACAGCTGATTTCTTATATCTACCGGGCTCTTTATCTCTATTTGACCCCCTGGATGTTCCCAACCCCTGGCTATTGTATACTATTCACCCTTGCCTTGTCTTTGCCTAGATTCTGGACTCTGAAAGCTGCTCCCAACTCTGTGATCTTATATGCTGTTTTCTGCCCATCCATCCCTATGTCAGACTGGCAAATCCTATCTCACTGAAGGAAGATTCCTGTTCTGTGAGTTATTAAAAATATTTATGATAGACTTTTGCAATATGCGTCATTAAGGTCAATAGAGACATTATGAGTAACTTATACAAAGCCTTCAAGTGTATTTAAGCAAAATATAATGGTTGTAATTTCTTTTTAAATCTTTGAACACACGTACATTACAAAATAAAGTTAATACACTCTGTTATTTAACTGGGTAATTTCAAAATGAATATACTCTTGGATAGTTGCCATAATTGACTGGGTCATATATCTATGTACTTTTTAAATAATGGAGAAGTTATCATTGTTTATATATGAAATATGGATAGCACAGGTCAAATACTGGCTTGGTGAAGGACCAAGCAATGAAAATTACTTTGTGCTTGAATTTCTTTGCAGTGATAAATGTTTGATTAAGTTAAAACACCAAGCTACAGAGAAGTGGAAATTCAAGGATTCAGCAGAAGAAATGATGGTATTTTCCATGGAAGATTAAAAATTATATAATACAATTAAAACATTTTATTAAGGGGAAGGCACACGTTCTAAGAACTGTCCTAGAATCACAATTACGACCATAGGCTTCAGTCACACTAACATTTGACTGGTTCAGTAACTGTTTTTGCTGGGGGCACAGTAAAAAATCTTAATTTCATTTTTTCACTATTTTCAGGGTCAGATATCCCCAGCAGGCCCTGGAGCATTTGCCCACTGACCTGCACTTTTCAGAGGAATGTGAAGGAGCAGTGATAACTAGAAATCTACCGAGCTTTGATTCTCACCCTCCATACTCCCCCTGGCAATGCATTTAAGTCCCAACCATAAAAAACTGAATCTCTACTCATGGACTGACATCATGAGAATTATGCCAGCCTGAAGAGAAACTTAATCAATTCTGAAAGAGGAAAGACAGAGTAAAAATGTTATGTGGAAGGTAGTCGGCATTTGTGAGAACATCTTGCATTTGTGTACACTTGTTTATAAAATATGTTACATAGATTACCTCATTTGATACTCCCACCACTTTGTGAGGTAGAGTCGAGTATTTTTAGCCTTTCTGACAAATTATAATTTTTTCCTTAATTAGCATAAGAGGAAACATCGGGGGGTCATGGTGTTACATAACAACCCTGTATAAAATGGGATGAGCTCCCCAAACAATCCTCCTGGTATCATTTCTACATCTTCCCACCACTGCTAATGTGAGCAGGGAGTCAAGTTATGGTACTGGGATGGCAGTTCTGAGCATGTAAATGTGCAAGATTCCCTTCCCCATTCCTTGCCTCACACTTCAGAGAAGTTGCCACATATTTAGCACTCTACTTTCCTTTACTCAGCAGCTTCCTTTTAAAGCTGACCATCTGGGGAGGAACCTGCCTTCCAGTGAGTAACATGGGCACACTTGACCACTGTCATTCCACGCCTGTTCTCCCAGCTCTGTGGAAGAGCCAGAGGAAATGAGAACAAGAGCAAGTATAGAGGCTGGTCATGTTTCCCTTTCTGGGATTTGGTTTCCTTGTATTTAAAATGGGGGTCTAGGACACAATAAATCTCCGAGATCCATGCCAATTCAAACATGAAAGTTTTGCAGTTTGTTAAAAAATATTTGTAAGTCAATCTTTCTTACAAAACTTATCTGTAAGGCCACTGGAGAGTCTTTAGTGGTTCCATTAATTTATACTTTCACTGCCAATGAACATTTTGATCCAAACTCACATCTAAACAATCCCCCAGCTATTATCACAGCCTTGTAAAGAGCATCTGAAATGCTAGTAGAGACAACCCTTACCTATAAATGACTCAGGAATATGAACAGCATGTGCAAATGCCCCTTCCTCCCTTTGTCTCCTCACCTCTGGAACCCCTGGTGCTCCTGCCAAAAAGCCACTCTGGGCAGGCAAAAAGCTTTAGAGAAATTGGAGGTTCAGAAGTAAAGAAAGGAAAGATACTGTGAAAAAGGAAATGCAGCATGGAGCTGACCAGGGACAGGTACGCAGAATGAGCTGACCTTCACCAGCCCAAAAATATCTTTCCCCTACTGTGCCTGAAGTTTTGACTTCACTTTGGCATGCTGACTGAAATCGCATCACTGAGACATGCTTTCTGGATAATAAGCAGGTTTTTTTTTTTTTTTAATGCAACTAACTTGAGGAGATTTCAGACTGTCAAGCCTTCATGCATTTGTGTGAATTCGTTGTTTTCCTCCTAACACCCAGCCAAGATCAACAATCCTGAGTTAATTAGAGTTTTGAACAGCTCGAAAGGAAAGGCAGGTAATTTCGGTGAAAGATAATTTGAGAGAATGTGCTAATTTTGGCTAATGTTGATGGAGAAGTTTAAAAAGTCTGTAAATTAGGGCACTAGAAAGTGGAGGAGTTGCAGAAAGTTCCTACCTAAGAAAGCAGGTACTGGCCACTTTGCCAGATGCTTCATGCTTTTGAGAGTTATGTAACATTATTTCTTTTACAGATAAGGAAACTGAGGCTCACAGAGATAAAGGAACTTGCCCGGGTCAGGGTCCGATCATGTTACTGCCAGCATTTTCCACTGCTTTCCTGCTTACTCTCTTTCTTACCCTCCTCCTTTCTGTTTTCTTACCATCCTCTTCCTTGCTGCTACTAGGACTTAAATGAAGAGGAAAATGTCATTCAGCTGCAATTTCTGTGATCCAACCTGGAAAAAAAAATATGTTTTGGGTTCCAAATAGTCAATTTATAAATGAGCTATTGGGATACAATTGTTCTTAAGTTGAGTAATTCATACACTCTTGATTTTTTTCCAACTACATAATTAATTGATGAAAACTGTTGAGATAATTCCTTGTTTGGAATCTTGTCTAATTATTACACAGTACCATAGTCATGCTAGACTACAAACTCTTCAAGTAGGAACTTTCCTGCACCCATCATACTAGGAATTCAGAAAATGAATGAATAAATAAATGTGAATAAATAAAATCTAATCAAAACGGCCTACTCAATAATACAGTTGTAGGCAGTTATTTTCGGACTGGACACCACAGAAAACCACGGGCTAGCGCTGGCTCTGACTGCCAACAAAAGACCGGTCAAAAGCAGCTACGGTGGCATCAGTTATATGGCTTAGAATGGACAGTCTCAAAATAGTTAAACTTGAAATTTTAAGGGCATTGGCAATTTCAGAATCAGAATAATGCATAGAGGGGGCGCCCGGGTGGCTCAGTGGTTGAGCGTCTGCCTTCGGCTCAGGTCATGGTCCCAGGATCCTGGGACCAAACCCCACGTCGGACTCCCTGCTCGGCGGGAAGCCTGCTTCTCCCTCTCCCACTCCCCCTGCTTGTGTTCCCTCTCTTGCTGTGTCTCTCTCTGTCAAATAAATAAATAAAATCTTTTTAAAAATTTAAAAAAAAAGAATAATGCATAGAGGGTACATTGTATCATAAGTCATGAATAAAAAAACCCACAGTCACGTGGAGTTCAGTAGCTGAGGTATTAATGGAAAGTACCATTGTGGAGCATTTTAGGAGCAAAAGCTTGAATCTTCCTCTATTTCCATGATCAATCTTTGGTTCAATCTAAGGGAAAACATTGACCACTAGTTAATGATAGATCTTTTGTAAATTGAGCTATCTGAAGCAACAGATCAAAAAAAAAATTACTTAATAAGGCAATATCTGCAGTAACATCATTATCTCCAGGGTATGCTATAAATGTGGGAGAACAAGACAAATATGATTTGAACCATGATCTCCTTGCCTGAAGGAAGTGGCAAAGATGCCCTATCAGACAATAGGAACTGGATGCAGGGGAAAGGATTCAGGAAACTTGGCAGCACTAAATGCAGTTAGTTAGGAGCTATGCGATAAAACCGCTTAGGTTCAAACCCCACACCCACCACATCCTACCTGTGCAGCCTGGGCAAGTTATCTAAACTTCCTTCATTTCAAAACGGAGGCTGATAATAATAGTACACACTGTAGGGAGGAATCCTGCGACTTAAATTAGTTAATATGTTTAAAGTACTTAGAAAAGTGCTTGGCATAGAGTAAGCCCTCAATCAACGTTAGCTTTTCACTCCATGCCTCAGTATGTGTAAGACCTTAGTGAACTCCCTGCTTCTCGGGATCTCATTTGCCTCATCAAGATGATACAGTGAGTCAGCACTGAGCCCAGGCCATGCTCTCCAAGCAGAATTAGTGACGCTTTCGGGGGAGTAGGCACTCACCTTTGTACCCCTCAAAATCATAGCACAGAATTAAAGTGGGGGAGATTACAAAGTTCACCGCAAGCTTTTCCCGGTTAACAAAGGAGGTTTCCGAACTGCTGCTCAAGTTCAATGATGTGAAATCTACTACTACCTTGTGGCCAGCCCGCCCCCTTAGCTTAAAGATGTGAAGTCTAGGCGAAACATTGCCCACGGAATTGGAAATTTAAGCTTTTGCTCCTAAGAAGTTCTAAAATGGTATCAGTTAATCAACGCCTCAGCTACTCTACTGTGATGACTGACGTGTAGCAGTATTTTTTTAATTCATGATTTATGATTCAGTGCACCTGCTACAAGTTATTCTGATCCTGAAATTTCCTATGCCCTTAAAATTCCAAATTTGACTCTCCTTCTTTGCCTCAGTAATGTCCTTCCCTGAAAGCATTCCTTTGCATACCCATGAATTTCACCTCCAGTCACAATTCGTTGCCCTAACAGTCACTCCAGAGGCTGAGTCTGTCATAACCTCTTTATGTAGAACTCTCCCATCAGCATTTGAGCCCAGAAAACTCCAGGCACAAATGCCTTCTGGGGATCTAAATCAGGTTGTGGTAATGTGACAGCTCATTCAATATCCTGTAACTCCCCTGCCTCTCGCCATCAACTCCCATTCACAAATTCATATTTTATAGAAAAACTTTAAATGAAAGCTTAGATTAAGCAAAGATTGTAGTTTGTTCCAGATACCTGCCGGGATTTACATACTCCATGGAGGAATCTGACTAATTCTAAACAGCAATTAAACACATTCAACATTGCTTAAAAGGTTGGGTTTGTCAGAGAAGGCAGTCTGACTGCATACAAAGGACAGTGGTCTGGAATTTGAATGAGGCACCAATAGATTTCAAGTTTCAAACTTACTTTGAACTCCATGGTTAATGCCACAGCTCTTTTGGTTCAGGAAGAAAATGTCTATGTTGAGAGCATGTTCAGGTAGATCATACTTTTGAGAATCTTGGAATATTCAACTATGGAAAGAGTATAGTACATGGGCTAGCAGCTGAGTGGAAGTCAAAAGCTTGAATCGATGAGTTTTGCTGTTAAACCACTAAAATGGCTATGTGTTCTTGGACAAGCCACACTCTCAGAGCAATCATTGTTCTCATTTATGAAATGAGGGCAGGGCAAGATGGCTCCTAAATCTCAACCCATGATCCCATACTGAAAGGCTTTTCCATGTACATTCAGCAGCCAAACCCAACTGGCAAATCCTAAAGAGCCAGAGTCTAAATGTAATTCTCCTAGTGAAACTGGCTCATGCTGATGGTTCTATACTTGTCCAGTCTCTTTGGAAGTATATTTACAAGATCTTATCCTAATACCAAATTGATATAAATTATATTTTTCCTTTTATAGGAGTAATGAGATAGGTTTTCAGTTTTGAAAACATGTCTGTAGGTCATATCTGAATGTGAACTTACTAGTTGGATCAAGAACAAAGATTGTTTTTGCCCAAGTCAGTAGAACTTGTCCTAAACTTGTTTTTAAATTCTCACTTATGAAATCATGGTTTCACATAGAAAGACACTAAATAAGAGCACAGGCTAACTCTAGAAAATCTAATCCCAGTTCTACATCCCAGATAAGTGGTCTTATGTCTATGTTACTTAGCTTCCCAATAGTAAATAGAGAAGTAGAAGTGGTCTTTAACATATATTCCTGCTATAAAAATTCTGTTATTCAGGAAAATAAATTCCCCTCATTTCAGCCTAAACTCTTGTGGGAAAAAAATCTCATGTGGGAAAAATGAGTGTCAGGTAGATAAAAAGCTATCTATACATACTTGTTTAATATAAAACAAGTGAAACAGAAGTACCCACTGAATTCTACTGCACTCAAATTTATTATGAGCATGAGGAAGAACAGAAGATTTCAGGGGAAGATTTAAACATGTACCATTGTCTTTTCTGGCAACTCCTTAACTATTCACTTATAAATCCACATTAGGAGTGAGTTTATACCTCCCACAACAAACTCAGATGGCTTATATGCCATGTTTTCAGCTAAACAGAATATTTTTTTAAATTATATCATGTTTTTTGCACTATCACAAGATGAGTCCTGTAGCTATATCCTTTGAGATTTTCAGTTGCCACAAATGTACCTACTCTCATGCATGGCTAAAAGATTCCAGAAAGCTTATTATTGTGTTTGGGATTGTTCGAGAAAAGACAGGCGTTAAAGAAGCTGCCCAAATCAGGACTGTAGCCAGAGAAATCTCAGCGATTTCAGAACTGATGTGTTTTACAGTGTGGTTAAAAGGTAATCTCCCAAGATACTAAAAGCTGTTGCGTAATCTAGGGAGAAATGTTAACGGGCTGTGTGACCTTGAGCGAGTCCCTTAGTTTCCTATTTATAAAAACAGGAACCTAAATCAGATATCTTTTCCAGCTCTAAAATTCTATACCTCTTAGTCTAAGAATTAATGCTTTCTTGCAGATGAAGTTAATTCTGACACAGACGATACAGTGTAGTTCAGATATAACCCAAACAAAATCACATCTCCCCAGCACAGAAACGTCAAGAGCAAGCAGGATTTACATGGGAATTAGATCTAGCCTCAGATTTCAACATTATTATGGGTTCTCATCAGAGTGCCCTGAATTATTCTCCACCCTGTTCAACCGTGCAGTAAATCTTCGGATGTGAGATCAGTGCTAGCTCAGATAAATAAATGAATCAATGTTAAGCAAATGTCGTAAATCATCAGCTTCCCTCACCTCAGTCTCCCTTCCCTGCCAAATTCC